TTGTATGTCGTTATCATGTTTCCCCTGACCCTCCTGTCCTTCAGTGTTTGTATGTATTCACCTAGTTGTGGTTGCAGGGGTCGATTCATAGCTCATGGCCCCGCCTCTTCACTGGCTGCTACTGGGTCACTCTCCCTGCATCATGAGCTTTATCATACCTCTGCTTAAAGCTGTGAATGGATCCTGCCTCCACTACATCGCTTCCCAAACTATTCCACTTCCAGTGACTGAAGAAATACTTCCTAACATCCCTGTGATTCATGCGAGTCTTCAACTTCCAACTGTGTCCCCTTGTTGCTGTGTCCCATCTCTGGAACATTCTGTCTTTGTCAACCTTGTCAATTCCTCTCAGTATTTTATATGTCGTTATCATGTCCCCCTATCTCTCCTGTCCTCCAGTGTCGTCAGGTCGATTTCCCTTAGCCTCTCCTCGTAGGACATGCCCATTAGCTGTAGAACTAGTCTGATTGCAAACCTTTGCACTTTCTCTAGTTTCTTTACGTGTTTGGCTAGGAGTGGGTTCCAAAGTTGTTCTGCATACTCCAGTATGGGCCTTGTGGAAAATTTTAAATTTTCCGAAACTATAGTGCCTAATAGGTGTTTAATGTGTCGATATGAGTCAAAAATATATTTGACAATAGGATAGAACCAAGAGTTCCCTTTGCGCCTGCGCGGATGTGCGGGGGGAGAGGTCGACTCGGGCCATGGGGGAGGCGGGAGTGTTTTGAATATAGTGAGGAGGCTGGGAAAGCATGGAACCAGGAAATTGGCGTTCACGGCAGCCTAAGGATTAATATGGGCCTCACTTCATAATAGGAAGTGTGGTAACTGTTCCTGGTGAAGAGTGAGGGAACGTGATTTACGGGACCACCGTAAAAAGGTGGTAAAATTAGTGAATAATGGTTCGACCGGGTGTGACTGGTGCGCGGCCATGGTGTGTGTCCAGGGGAAATACCCGTGTGTTAATCCTCACTCATCGGCCTCAGATCTTAATGGAGTGACCTCTAATGTGTATAATAATTATGAGACGTTAAATCGTCTTGTGAATGGTAATGTAATCAGTGATAATAACTGTTAAGAGAATGCGGGATGTGAAATAGATCGCCCTGCTCCGAGTGAACGCGTGATTCTCGTACCGAGGATAGTGAAGCTTTATGGAATCACGACTTCTAAACCGGGACAAACCGACGGATACCTCGTCCTGCTGGAATAAGAACCGTGTCGGTGTAGCAGGACATCGAAATGAGATAGTGAATGGAGGGAATAAGGAGTATCAATCACCCAGTTAAGTAACCCTTCTAGTTATAGCAGACTGATACTGGCCAGTTAGGTATGTTGTAATTGGATAGGTTATGGATGATCCAGCTACATCAAGTAACCACCAGAGAATATCTGGTAAGTGGTGAAATTATGTACAAGTGTTTTCCTTGATGGATATATCCATGTGTAACCTACCCCACCCCCCTTCATTCAGTTAAACTAATATAATCTATACAGTCCACAATTAATTAGTAGCACCGTACTTGTGGGTGCTATCCAATCCATACTGGTCTCGGATAGATATGGATAAGATTGTGAGGTCGAAGGCTCTGGTGGCCTGGTGGCTAACACTCTCGCTTCACACGGCGAGGGCCTGGATTCGATTCCCAGCCAGAGTAGAAACATTGGGCGTGTTTCTTTCCACCTGTTTGTTCCCCATCAGTAAAATGGGTACCTAGGTGTTAGTCGACAGGTGTGGGTCGCATCCTGGGACACTGACCTAATTTGCCCGAAATGCTGAGCATAACAAGGGGATTTCTATGCAGTAGTATGTCATTGTTGTCAGCTAGGCCTGTAGACCATGTACATGTACTTGTAGTAAATAAAGATATTATTATTATTATTACCTGCCGTGACCAGGGGTGGTTAAGTTTTCTCACATGTCTACACGGGGTGACTACGGTAAACAATATGGTTGTCTCCCAATGAGATTACTTGTATGTATATAATGTTGAGGTACATACAGGTAATCACCCTATAAAATTTTCCATAGGCCTAACGTACGCGTGTGTGTTTTAGGATCAAGTGGAGAAGAGTGGTTTTGATGACTTGATGTGCTGTTGAAGGGATTTAGGGAAACCGGTTAGCCTGATTGAGTCCTGGAGATGTGGAACTACAGTGCCTGCACTCTGAAGGAAGGGTTTTGATGTTTGTTTTTTAACTAGTGTAGGCACGCCTCTGGCAAGTGATGGAGTGAATGGTAGGAAACGGCCAATGTGTTAATAAAAATAATGAATTAGGTCACACAAAAAAGTTTAAGTGGCAGTGCGTATTTTACAGTGGGCAAAGTCATGGGGTTTTTACAGAAGGGTTGGTAATATGCCACTGGATAAAATGCTAGTTGACATTGCCTGATGTATGTTGGATGTACAAAAAGATGTTGGATAAGTACTCCTGCACACTTGCTATATTGTTCTTGCCGGGTAATACATGTGGTGTGCCATTTGTTTCATCGCACTACATAAGACTAAAGACAATTGTGAGGGTTTGTGGTCTGATTTTTTTTTGTGGCGAGGGTTTTAGCTGACGAGCATTGTTTCTGACTTCCACAGTTTTTTATTATCTTGAAGGACTCCAACACTATCTCTCGGAGGTGGATGTGGTTCTTCAGGGCTGCACTGTCAGCCTCAGGTGTTGGCACCCAGGTCTGGTTTAAAGGGTACATATTTTGAAAAAAAAAATGTACTGGTATGTTAACCCAAACTGTGGCACCACTGTTCGGTAGTTCAAGGTTGGTATAAAATTCACTTAACAACCCAAAATGAACACGAGGGTTCCAAGACTGCTAAAATGATGAGATTTACTTGTTGACTTAAAATGTTCGGACATACACAGTAGTATATATTGATAATTCTAAGTTGTATTTACTTTTTTCCATTACAACCATTTTACTTTACTTGCGGTATATAGGAGAAAGTTACAGATTACGACACAAACTTGAGTTAAAACTAAGACAAATGATTTGCACTTGGAAAATCCTAGGACTAGTCCCTAACCTGCATACTGAAATCAGTGCAAAATATCGTGATTTACAGTGGAGCGAGTACCATGAGAGAAGTGTAAGGAGATAAAGACTCTTGGTCTCTTTCATGTATGAAGAAATGCCAACAAACTTCCCCTGGCTGCCTTCAAGAGGAAACTAAATGAGTTCATCAGTTCCTTATCAACCGGGCTGTGGTGGGTGTGTTGGATTACTTGCTGCTGGCTTAAAAAGCCTGATCAATCAAACCGGCAACCGAAAGGCCTGTTTTGGGACAAGATCGCGGTGGCAGTGATCCTCAGAAGCGACTAAAGGTAACCTACCAATTTGAAAGGACGCAGTAGTTAATACAGAAAGTCATGGCTCGCTTGGTTGTCCGGTGGCCTGGTGGCTAAAGCTCCCGCTTCACACACGGAGGGCCCGGGTTCGATTCCCGGCGGGTTGAAACATTTCGACACGTTTCCTTACACCTGTTGTCCTGTTCACCTAGCAGCAAATAGGTACCTGGGTGTTAGTCGACTGGTGTGGGTCGCATCCTGGGGGACAAGATTAAGGACCCCAATGGAAATAAGTTAGTCCTCGATGACGCACTGACTTTCTTGGGTTATCCTGGGTGGCTAACCCTCCGGGGTTAAAAATCCGAACGAAATTTTATCTTATCTTGGTTGAAACTGAGCTCGGGACCATCAACCCTGATGTGGTGGTCCTCTTTACACGTCAAGTTAATAACAATATACATAAATTTACTTTGTAAACAAGAGTAAAAATGCGTGGCACAGCCTGGGTTTTCCTGCCTTGCTGATTTGCTGGGGAATACCTGTAGAATTGATTAAGAACTCTGCTTGTTTGACGTGTATTTCACCACGTACACAGCTCTACCATGTACACCACTATACCATCTACATACTATTTTAACAGAACAATAAATTCTAATATAAACACTGCTGTGAAACAAAAGACAAAAATCTCTTCTGTGTTCAACTCAACCCTTGTAAAATTCCCTAAAATGTGGAAAGTATTGCCTCGAGATTATAAAGGTTTCTAACTGCCAATTGCTTCGAATAAGAAAAAAAAATTGCTTCGAAGCTACTGTTAAAAAGCATCTCGTTACCTTAATGTGATGAATTCAACACGTGCAACATTTGGGAATTTTTATTGAGGAAACTTTGCCAGCCAGTGACTTCTTTTGTCCAATACAGAGAATAGCAGAGGAAGATGAGCATGAGGTAATCAGTCCCTCAGCCTAGTGCAACATCCCCCCAATGAAAAGCAGGGGTGCCATTAGCACGATAAGAGACAACACAGTAAGTGTTAGAGGCCCAAGACTGTTCAACTGCCTCCCAGCATACATCAGGGGGATTACCAATAAACCCCTGGCTGTCTTCAAGCAGGCACTGGACAGGCACCTAAAGTTAGTACCTGACCAGCCGGGCTGTGGTTAATACGTTGCATTATGTGCGGCCAGCAGTAACAGCCTGGTTGATCAGGCCGTGATCCACCACGAGGCCTGGTCACAGACCAGGCCGCGGGGGCGTTGACCCCCTGAACTCTCTCCAGGTATAGGTACCTCCAGATATAGTTCATCAGTTTTGAGAAATGTGGACTCAGTCATCGGTAGAAAAGGGAATGGCTTATTTTTTATCTTTCACTGATTAGTTAGGCTCATTAAAACTCGATGATCATTGATCGGCTCTTGACATGCCTCTTGTGCTAAGATATTTTTTTTATCTTTTTTTGCAAATAAAGTACATCTCCCAAAATAAGTTTGCACAAGAAATAGCAATTGTTGCTGGTGTATAGATAGGATGCTTGTACATAAAATTTTACAAGGACATGATCTCAATATTGTATTAGCCAGGTTTTCCTACATTTCTGCCAAACTTTGAGCTAAAAAAAAAATATTGCAATCAGTAATGAACATTTCAATGATCAAGTTCAAAATGTTTGTACTGTTATTGTTTTCATGAAGTTTGTTTAACAGGCACATCAGTGGGTCATGTGGAGAAGGTGGTGGGAAGGGTGGGGAGGGAATGGAAGATAATGTCACACCATTCCTGACTCCTCAGCACCTGGCCAGGACTCCTGCTCAGTCCTACTTCAGCATTCTCAATTCTGAGGTGAGACTTGTTAAATGTTGTCAGTAATATGTCTGTATACTTGTGCATTGTGTTTATTTATTTAGTAATTTGAGCATACATACAGAGGTACAAAAAAAAATACAGGTAAGAGCAGCATGCCAAAGCCACTTATATGCATAGCATTACGGGCTGGCTTAAAATTAACTTAATGTTCTTAATGTTTTAAAATATCTAACTGATATATCATAAATTACTTTTACCATGTTTGTAATATGTATGCAGGTTTGTTATACAATTAAATAATAATAATACAGTGGACCCCCGCATAACGATTACCTCCGAATGTGACCAATTATGTAAGTGTATTTATGTAAGTGCGTTTGTACGTGTATGTTTGGGGGTCTGAAATGGACTAATCTACTTCACAATATTCCTTATGGGAAAAAATTCGGTCAGTACTGGCACCTGAACATACTTCTGGAGTGAAAAAATATCGTTAACCGGGGATCCACTGTAGTTTATTAGGACATGATACATAGTTGTGCAAGGTATTATAGCAGTTGGGTGTACATGTCGAAAGCCCCTTGTATGCAGAGCATTATGGGCAGGCTTAAAATTAACTTAAGATTATCTAAGCTATAATAAATTTAATAGTAACAGTTACAGTAAACAATTTACAATATCAAGTATAATTGAGTATTTTAAACAATGAAATTTGAACATTTCAATTTTGAAGCATTATAGTTTGTAAATTTTGTAACATTACAGTGAATAATATAACAAAATGATCAATTTACTGTATGTAGTCGTACAATTTATTAATCAGATCTAATCAAATCAATTATCTGTAGTGCAGCAACAGTTCATATGGTCATTAGATGAGTTACAGTGCATTCAAGAGAATGGATTATTCTATTAGGTAATGCTATAAAAACATAGTTTGATAAGGTTTCTCTAATTATACAACTGGGTTGTACATTTATGAAATAAGTTAGTCAATATTTGCAATATTTGTATGGTAGTAGGTTGGTAGACAGCAACCACCCAGGGAGGTACTACCGCCCTTCCAGATGACTGTGAAACAGAAACCTGAAACTGTTTTACGTGATGGTAGGATTGCTGGTGTCTTTTTTTTTCTGTCTCGCAAACACGCTGGATAACAGGTATATCTTGCTATTTCTGCTTACACTTAGGTCACACTACACAGGCATGCACATGCATATATATACATACACACACATCTAGGGTTTTTCTTCTTTTTCTTAATAGCTCTTGTTCTTGTTTTTTTTTTCCCTATTGTCCATGGGGAAGTGGAAAAGAATCTTTCCTCCATAAGCCATGTGTATCATATGAGGCGACTAAAATGCTGGGAGCAATGGGCTAGTAACCCCTTCTCCTGTACACACTTACTAAAAATGAGAAGAAGAAAAGCTTTATAAAACTGGGATGCTTGAATGTGCGTGGATGTAGTGCAGATGATAAGAAAGAGATGATTGTTGATGCTATGAATGAAAAGAAGTTAGATGCCTACTAGACTGGAGAATACACTAGACCTCATCTTCACTAACAATGATGATCTGATAAGAAATGTCACCATATCAAAAACAATATACTCAGATCACAACATAATTGAGGTTCAGTCATGTATGCGCGGAGCCCCAGACCGACATAATGAGATTAGTCACGAGGGAGCATTCACCAAATTCAACTTCAATAACAAAAACATAAAGTGGGACAAAGTAAACCAAGTCCTAACCGATATAAGCTGGGAAGATATACTAAGCAACACAGACCCCAACTTATGCCTAGAACAGATTAACTCGGTGGCACTCGATGTATGCACAAGGCTTATTCCTCTAAGAAAAAGGAGGAGTAGATGTAAAATAGAAAGACGGGCGCTCCCTTTACAGGCGACGGAAAAGAATAACAGAGCGGCTAAAAGAGGTCAATATATCTGAAATGCGTAGGGAGAGACTGGTCAGAGAAATAGCAAGCATCGAACTTAAGCTAAAAGAATCCTTTAGGAGTCAGGAATCGCGGGAAGAACTAAAAGCCATAAATGAAATCGAAAGAAACCCAAAGTATTTCTTCTCCTATGCCAAATCAAAATCGAGAACAACGTCCAGTATTGGGCCCCTACTTAAACAAGATGGGTCCTACACAGATGACAGCAAGGAAATGAGTGAGCTACTCAAGTCCCAATATGACTCGGTTTTTAGCAAGCCGCTAACCAGACTGAGAGTCGAAGATCAAAATGAATTTTTTATGAGAGAGCCACAAAATTTGATTAACACAAGCCTATCCGATGTTATCCTGACGCCAAATGACTTTGAACAGGCGATAAATGACATGCCCATGCACTCTGCCCCAGGGCCAGACTCATGGAACTCTGTGTTCATCAAGAACTGCAAGAAGCCCCTATCACGAGCCTTTTCCATCCTATGGAGAGGGAGCATGGACACGGGGGTCGTCTCACAGTTACTAAAAACAACAGACATAGCCCAACTCCACAAAGGGGCAGTAAAGCAACAGCAAAGAACTACAGACCAATAGCACTAACATCCCATATCATAAAAATCTTTGAAAGGGTCCTAAGAAGCAAGATCACCACCCATCTAGAAACCCATCAGTTACACAACCCAGGGCAACATGGGTTTAGAACAGGTCGCTCCTGTCTGTCTCAACTATTGGATCACTACGACAAGGTCCTAAATGCACTAGAAGACAAAAAGAATGCAGATGTAATATATACAGACTTTGCAAAAGCCTTCGACAAGTGTGACCATGGCGTAATAGCGCACAAAATGCGTGCTAAAGGAATAACAGGGAAAAGTCAGTCGATGGATCTATAATTTCCTCACTAACAGAACACAGAGAGTAGTCGTCAACAGAGTAAAGTCCGAGGCAGCTACGGTGAAAAGCTCTGTTCCACAAGGCACAGTACTCGCTCCCATCTTGTTCCTCATCCTCATATCCGACATAGACAAGGATGTCAGCCACAGCACCGTGTCTTCCTTTGCAGATGACACCCGAATCTGCATGACAGTGTCTTCCATTGCAGACACTGCAAAGCTCCAGGCGGACATCAACCAAATCTTTCAGTGGGCTGCAGAAAACAATATGAAGTTCAACGATGAGAAATTTCAATTACTCAGATATGGTAAACATGAGGAAATTAAATCTTCATCAGAGTACAAAACAAATTCTGGCCACAAAATAGAGCGAAACACCAACGTCAAAGACCTGGGAGTGATCATGTCGGAGGATCTCACCTTCAAGGACCATAACATTGTATCAATCGCATCTGCTAGAAAAATGACAGGATGGATAATGAGAACCTTCAAAACTAGGGAGGCCAGGCCCATGATGACACTCTTCAGGTCACTTGTTCTATCTAGGCTGGAATATTGCTGCACACTAACAGCACCTTTCAAGGCAGGTGAAATTGCCGACCTAGAAAATGTACAGAGAACTTTCACGGCGCGCATAACGGAGATAAAACACCTCAATTATTGGGAGCGCTTGAGGTACCTAAACCTGTATTCCCTGGAATGCAGGAGGGAGAGATACATGATTATATACACCTGGAAAATCCTAGAGGGACTAGTACCGAACTTGCACACGAAAATCACTCATTACGAAAGCAAAAGACTTGGCAGACGATGCAACATCCCCCCAATGAAAAGCAGGGGTGTCGCTAGCACGTTAAGAGACCATACAATAAGTGTCAGGGGCCCGAGACTGTTCAACTGCCTCCCAGCACACATAAGGGGGATTACCAACAGACCCCTGGCAGTCTTCAAGCTGGCACTGGACAAGCACCTAAAGTCAGTTCCTGATCAGCCGGGCTGTGGCTCGTACGTTGGTTTGCGTGCAGCCAGCAGCAACAGCCTGGTTGATCAGGCTCTGATCCACCAGGAGGCCTGGTCACAGACCGGGCCGCGGGGACGTTGACCCCCAGAACACTCTCCAGGTAAGATGTCCTGGCCCTAAGCGAAATAAAGCTGAAGGGGGTAGGCGAATTTCAGTGGGGAGATAAATGGGATCAAGTCAGGAGTATCTGAGAGAGTTAGAGCTAAGGAAGGGGTAGCAATAATGTTGAAGGACCAGTTATGGAAGGAGAAGAGGGAATGTAAATGTGTAAATTCAAGGATTATGTGGATTAAAATAAGGGTCAGATGTGAAAAGTGGGTCATAATAAGCATGTATGTACCTGGAGAAGAGAGGAGTGTAGAGGAGAGAGAGATTGATTTTGGGAGATGTTAAGCGAATGTATAGGAACCTTTGAACCAAATGAGAGAGTAATTGTGGTAGGGGACCGAAATGCTCAAGTTGGAGAAACATGTAGAGAGGGTGTGGTAGGCAAGTTTGGGGTGCCATATGTAAATGATAATGGGAGCCCTTTGATTGAACTGTGTATAGAAAGGAGTTTAGTTATAGGTAATACGTATTTAAAAAAAAAAAAGAGGATAAGTATACAGGATATGATGTAGGGCGTAATGACAGTAGTTTGTTGGACTATGTATTGGTAGATAAGACTGTTGAGTAGACTTCAGGATGTACATGTTTATAGAGGGGCCACAGATATTTCAGATCACTTTCTAGTTGTAGCTACAGTGTAGGTAAAAGGTAGATGGGATACAAGAAAAATAGAAGCAGCAAGTAAGAGAGGTGAAGGTGTAAAAACTAAGAGGAGGCAGTTAAGGTAAGATATAAACAACTATTGGAGGATAGATGGGCTAGTGAGAGTATAGGCAATGGGGTCGAAGATGTATGGAGTAGGTTTAAGAATGTAGTGTTAGTGTTCAGCAGAAGTTTGTGGTTTACAGGAAAGTAGGTGTGGGAGGGAAGAAGAGCGATTGGTGGAATGATGTAAAGAGAGTAGCAAGGGAGAAAAAGTTAGCATACGAGAGGTTTTTACAAAGTAAAGTGATGCAAGGAGGGTAGAGTATATTGAGAAGGAGGTTAAGAGTGTGGTGAAGCAGTCTTAAGAAAGCAAATGAGAGAGTGGGTGAGATGTTATCAAAAGATTTTGTTGA